AAACTGTGGTCTTTTACCATTTCCCAGAAGGATTTAGGGATTCACAGCTCCTGTAACCTAGAATGTCCTCATCCGTTAGCATGAGAACAGTATTATACTGTCTTGCCTGTTATGGGTTTAAGGTAGGCATAGTCCTATTGTATCCTATGAAAGCATTTCAATAACAATGCTCCCTGTGTGTACCTACCACTCCATCCAAGCCCCCTAAGGATGTCAACACTGAAGAGTAACAGAGGCCTGGATCCTGGCTTTAATGCTTACTCGCTGTTGCCTTGGTGAGTCACTTCTCCTTCCTCTATCTTAGTCTCCTCATTGTGCAACGAGGCTAATGATACTCCTCCTACTGCACACAACTTCAGAAAGTCAAATGGCAACCTGTGTGAAAGCATTTCATAATCAAGAAAAAACCTTTCAAGTGTTTATAATGCTATAAGTAGTATTCCCTATAGCATGCTGTTCCTTCAGAGATGCTTTCAGTGCAGACATATATTAACCAAGCCTAGTCTTTTCTTACCCTCAGAAATTAGATCATCACAATGTATCAGGCTGAGTTGTGGGGCAAATCAGTAATTTGCAATTGGATTCATGCATTACTTGGTGTTCAGGGGATACCTCCTGACCATCAAAGATTTGAGGAGAGGTTGAAAAGGGTAGGGGGAAGGAAGGAAAACATTCTATTTCTAGGTCAGAAGCCATTTCCAGATATATAAAATAGCCAAGGTTCTATGATACCAAATATTGGCTCTTGGTAAATTTTTATTTCAGAATCAGTGAATAGGAAAGAGATACTACTGACTTTCGTTAAAGTCTTCATATATGTCTTCCATATTTTTATCTTTTGCTAAGGCATCAATAAGACTATTGTAAGATTATATTATTTTTCCCCAACAGTACCAGGGTGAGTCTAACAGCAACATAAACAAGTCTCAAGAAAACTAATTTAAAATTCATAAAAAATGTATTACAGCTAGTGAAACAGTCCTCACGCTGCAGATTACAAAAACTTGAATCAAAAATTCTGCTCTCTGCTAACTTCCCAGAAATGGAAAATCATTAAGACTTTTGGTACAGTACAAAAAGCAGGAAGTACAAACACTGACAGATCAAAAGTGGGAAGCAAAGGGAATAGTAGAAAGTAAAGGGGGCAGGGCTCTGCTACTGATCCAAATACTTTTGAAATGAAAACCAGAATAAAAATTAAAAAGAACTAAAACATGAAATTATTAATATGTCCTTATGACACTGTATTTTTCCTTTACAAAGAAAACTTGTTCCAGATTATCCCCAACCCCCAGAATCTTGTACCCTGTTCTCTTTTCAGAATTTGTCAAATTTTGGCAAAAGCAACCACTTAAAAGAAGCAATTTTCCATTAAAATTAAATTTAACAAAATTATCTCTAAATTCCCTTGAAATTTCAAATGCTTTGAATCAGCAATAGTATTAGATATGTCTAAGTATGTTTCTAGTAGCACCCAAAAGTCTAGGAAGAGGCAATCTCTAGAGCTCCTAAGTATGAAGCCTCTTTCTAGAGAAGAGTTGAGTTCAGAAGCCCATTTGTTTGCCATGTATCATTTATGCTTTATTCTGTTTTTCCACTCTTTTTCTCTCTTAGCTTATTTGACCTGGTCTTCCAGTTTCTTAATCCTGTGTTCTGATGTGTTCACCCATCTGTTCAAAACATCCAAAGTTCTTAAGTGTTAAATATTATATTGTTTAGGTCAAGAATGTCCATTTGATTAATTTACATAGATTCCAATTCTCTGTTGAAGTTATCCAAGGCATTCACTGCCAGAGGGCTTGGCCATTTCAAGTGACTCCATCATGAAAACTAAAGTCTTTAATACAAACCCTGTTACACAGAATGCTTACAAAGTGAGGTGAACTTTCAGGTCGAAGCAAGCACGCATATATGGATGATGAAATGGGCGTCACAAGAGAGCCAGACATCAGTAAAAGAGTAAACACGGTTTGACATAGTAAAATAAGGCTAGTCAAGGTTCGCTGCATGGTGGGAAGACTGTTACGAGAGCAGGCAATATAATCAGCCCGATTTACTGTACAAACAAAGATAGTCACAGTTCAACGTCAAAGTGGCAGAATCAGGGGAACTGTCATACCAGGGGATGAGGTGACCCTCAGAATCCTGAACTCCAATACGAGAAAGGTGTCAAGAAGGCAAATAATCCTGAAGTGAGGCCTACCATAGTTGCCTGGGCTTCTGGTGCTCCAATTAATTTTCTCTGCCCAAGGAAGTCTTTTATTTGATCTAGGTCATGTGTGTGAATCAACACAACCTAATCACTGAGAGGCAAAACTCTAGGCTTAAAGCAACTTTGACTGGTAAACAGTGACTTTGACCATCAGTAATTACATAAGATATAGTTTTATAAGATCTGTAATTCACTACCATCCCTACAGATTCCACTGCATTGGACCCAAGAGAGATCTCTCTATCCTCACCATTATTCAACCTCACCAGTGACCTAGCAATCCAGCAGACATCATGGGGTCTCTAACCCATGGGAATTGTGCCTCACAGCAACAACTAAATAACTTATTTAATAAAAAATCATCTACAAGAAAACAATTTTTTTTTTGCTTTAAAGAAAGTCCAAATAAAAGTACAAAATTACTCAATTCTCCTACCTTTCTGGTATATATATTATATTTACTATGAACAGAGCATTATTCAATAATTAATATTTAATGTTTAAAGAATCAACATTTTAACACAGTTTTTACTTTCTAGCTAAGCAGTTGCAAGAGATACAGTATTTTTTATGTGTTTATCTCTATATTCCTCTTATGCTAATGAGGGACAAGATGAAGTATTCATCATCTTGATACCCTCAGGGCTTACCCATGAAACCTAGCACATAGTAGGTGATCAATAGGTGAATACTGAATTAAATCAATTAAACACTGGGATGGATTTGCACTAATCCAAGGAAATGCCCATCATGCTGATATCAAGCTAAATGGACTTCCCTGTCAGATACAACTCTGTAACAAAACTGGGGAAGAGAATAGCATCTCAATTGTTGAGGGCTCAAAGGTATACATTCTTTACAACGATGGATATAGAGTGCAATCAAAAAAGCAGAAGAGAGCTGGCTGTGCCACTGTCTGCCTGGAAGTGTATCTTGGAGCAAGCACACATTGCCTAAGAAGTCGGTTTCCTCACCTGTGAAAGGAGAGGTATGCCCATTTGCCCCGCAGAGCCTGGTTTCTGCAGAGGTCATGAGCTCAGCTCCAATGCCCTTCCTTGCAACAACCTCAGCAGCTCTTCTTGGTTTTGTAGGTTACATTTATGTAAAAGGCTCCACAGTTAAAAGTTTGAAAAGTGTAAAACCACACAATCCTAAAGATTTTTTTTCAAACTCCACATGTCCCTTATTCTATGTATATGTTTAAACTAGTTAAGAAAAAAAAAAGAAGCTGTCAACTTTTTATATATCAGAACCAAAAATAAAACTATTTTCATGGTGCTTAATAGTTCTTAGCAGATCTTCTAAGAAAAATTCCCAAGACTTCCATAATTTTTAAGCTCACACACTTAATATTTAATCCACGTCTTAAACTCATTTACCCCATACTTATTTTCTGAGAACTAATGCCACATCTAAAAGGACTTCTTAGTTTGTTGTTCTACCATAAAGCCTGAGTTTCAAAGCAAAGTAATATAATTTAGTAACTAAGTTGCTGATTGACCTGGTTTATGAAGTTTTCACTAATTGAAAACATTATTTTCCTGCTTCTCCTTTACTGATGAGTTAACAATGCTTATTGCAAGAGAGATCACTGGAGTAGTGAGAAGCTCTTCTCCACAAAGTGAATTTGCTCTTGATCCCCAATTCTTTTTAGGATTTTAATGTGGGATAGTAAGTCTTTCATCCTCCCTGATAATATTAACTATTAAATCAATATAGTAATATGTAATACTTGGGGGCACTTAGTATATATATCATCACTATTCTGAACACTTTAGGTAAACTACATTTCACTGAGTTCTCACAACTGCAAAACGTAGTGTCACTACAGTCCCCATTTTCCACAGGGGCAGCTGAGACACAAGCTCTCACATTAGTGAGGGGCAGAACCAGTCTGACCCAAGAGGGCTGACTCCTGACCCCACCATGCCACACTGCTGCACATCCACACCCACAGCAGGACATTACTATGTGGAAATGAAATAAACCAGGGTGCTGAAAATTGCTAAAAACAACAACAGTAAGTTAGAATTCATTTTACTCTTTTCCATTAATTTTATTTTCCTCAGAATGTACTTCCCCATGGTAAATCAAATAAGAGAGGGTGAGGTAATGAGGGGGAAAAAAAAGGGCAATAAGTCAGGAAACCTGCACTTAGTCCCAGTTCTGTCACTGTCTATGTGGCTTTGGGCAAGTCTTAATATATATATATTACAAGGCTTAAGGGGAAAAAAAACAATTCTAATTTCACCTACATCAAAATTCCTCAGTGTTTTAGGGAGCTATGTTAATAGTATTAATCGCCAAAACTGGTGTGATAATTATTATTATTATTATTAGAGTAACTGCAAATAATAGTCATGCTTTCCTTTCTATTCTACTGTTCTAAACTGAGCTTAAAGAAATTATTCCAAGGTAGTTGAAAAATGGTTTCCTTTGTTACATGGGACTGTTCCTATAAATAGGAGTAAAACAGTATTTCCTGTAAGCCTTCTTTATTATTCTGCAACTTCCTGAAGACAAACCACATTAAATCAACTTTATTTAGTAAGGCCATATTTAGAAGATACAGTAATTAGCAAACACTGCTTAAAGTCATTCATCTTGTAGGATAGATACTTTGCCTTTGTTTTTAAGAAAAAAGAAACCGAAGTTCAAAGCATATACATTTGCTATATTTATGTCAAATAAAAATCTAGCTTACAAATGGAAATACTACATAGTAAGAGTTGGTCAGTATGTGATCATTTGTTTGAATTTCCACAGGGATTGGTCGTTTCGTTCATACCTCATCTTATCCATGGTAGGAGTCAGGCTCTGTCAGTCACTTCTTCCTCCTGCTACCTGAAAACAAAGGACATGGTGTTATTCTCACCACAAGCTAAAAAGAAAACTCCTACTCCTAAAATTTGCTACTTGTATGTTCGAAGTGGAAATTACATCTCACTTCTATTCAGGATTTGCACATGTAACAATATCTGCTAACATCTATATAAGCAGAACTTTTATAACCACTTAGTCAGCTCAGCTTCAAGGTACACTTGAAAATGAGTGTACCTTCATCCATATGTAAAAACACCACATTAAAGACAAGCATTAAAGAGTAGTATAGCTCAAAGTTTATATTAAAGACAAACACCACATTAAAGACATACATTAAAGAGTAGTGTAGCTCAAAGTTTATATTTAGGCACAACAGCTGATCCTCCAATCCAGGATGAAGGGAAAGAAATATGACAAGGTTGGCTTATTAAGTTTGTAATGATCTTTTTTAATGCCTAGCCATTTTCCACTCATTGTGACTATCTGAGAAAATTTCCAAGAGCTGAATAGAATAGGTAGCTCCACACATTAGTTAAGGAAAAGGAATGCTCTGTCTCCATGCCTTTGGAAGCCAGTTGACTTGAGGGTAGTCTGATCCAACCAAGCTAAATTTAACTCAAGTCAATTCATACTTACTAACATGCAAAGCACTAGCTAGAGGTATGGAGAAATTTAAGACAGGCACAAGCTGGGCCTAAGGAGCTTCTAGGAAAATAATACACTTCATCACATTTCCTTGAGAGACAAAAATCTGTTTATGCTAAAATACTAGACTTCCTTCTCGTTCTGCAATTCTTTTAACTTCTCTGCCAAATAGGTTCTGAGAACAGAATGACATCAGTGCTGTCACCCAATCCAAAACACATGTGCTGTCTCTAGCCTCCAACTGTATTATAATGGCACATGTCTCCATATAAAGTAAATAATTACATTTATCATTTAAATATATTCTATTTATTCTTAAGGAGTTTGGGAGGGGGCCTAAAAACTAAACATCAAATAAATATGGATATTACAGTATATTTCATTGTATTTGTTACAAACAACATTGCCAAATTTTGAAAAATATTTTTAAACTAATCAGTGTCCATTTCTAACCTAAAGATAATAATTGTTAATTATTTGGTTCTGAGAGCATCAAAACCATATTTTTTTGTATTATTTAGGTTAGGTATTTAACTAAACAGTTCTTTATTAACTTAAACTCTGAATAACACCATGCCTTCACTAATAATTATATTTTAATTAGTCTTTAAATTTAGAAAAAAATAACTCAATATGAAAATAATGAAGTGATAGCCATTTATGCTGGTTTAAAGGAAAATATTTGGTACATTACACAACTTCCATAATTTCTTCCATGTACACTTTACTAAGAAAAGTTGTTTACTTTATCATACAACCAAAGTTCTCCCCCAAGAAAAATGTATGCTCTACTAATGCAATAGTAACTAAAGAATTTAAAATAAAAAGTTCCTGAATTTAGCTTTCCTGCTTCATATTTTCATGAAAGTCTAACTTATTGTAATGAACTTAAACTATGTTGTAAAAGGTGAGTTATTTCTTTCTTTAAGAATCATATTCTCACTCACATAGTCATGTATCTAATAACAGGTAGATATATAAACTCTACAGAAAGCATTATGTTTTATTATTCTTGATACATTTTACCTGACAAATATAAATGTATCCTCTTTACTTTATAAAAGGTGACATGGTATCTGGGAAAAACACACTTAGAGAAGCCTGATAGGAATCTTGGCTTTGCCACTATTGGCTCCATGACATGAACATGATAAACAGTCTTCCCCCAACACCCATTCCCCTTATCTGTAAAAAGGGAGTAAAGGTTATGAACTTGCAGTTTGTTTGAGAACTTGATTTAACCTATGTAATCAGTCTAGCACAATTCCTCAATGAATGGCAGTCACTATCATTATTATCATTAATATGCCAAGGGTCACCCTTGCAGACTGTGGGGAGACCTGTATTGTGGCATCTCCCCCTCCTCCTGAGCATGTGGATGTTCACAGGAAGGCACTGTTATGAAGAGGGGGAACACCCAGCATTCACTGAGATCCCACAGCTGTTTCTTGAACTGTACATGTGGCGGGGGAGGGGATCACTGGAAAAGTATGATGGTGTGTTGGAAAGACTGGGGGTGACAGGGTTAGAGGGGGGCCCCTCTGCCCACTGTGGTATAGATAAGACTGCATCACAGAAATGTGCCTGCCTTTGTGCACTCCCAAATCTGGTTTTATGTCTTTAGTTGACCAGTAGTATCTGGACTGAATGATATCTAAGGTCCCAGCTGCTCCCTTGCTGTTCTCACACTCAGTGTGTATGGAAGGGTTGCCTGAAAGTCTTGATAAAAACACTAGATGCACAGTAAAAGTTTGCCACCATAAAAAAACACAAGAACGCACACAATATGATTGTTTGTTAATGGTAATATACATTTCATATTATATTTTATATTGCATTTTTATAACTTTTCAGTTGTTCTTTCTTGTTAGCTCATCTTTTGTCTCCAAGCTGTTATCATTCTGCTATTTTATTTTTTGATCTGAACACCCCATTTAAAAGACAAACTGCCCATTCAAAGCCAGATATCTGACAACACAGTCATTAAAGATTATATTTGTTCCACAAACAGTCAACAAACTCTTACCCAGTCACATGTATAAACAAGCTTTGGGGCATAAGTAAATGGGACATCAGAGAATGATTCACTTCTGCTCCTGTGAAGCTCCATCTATTGAGGGCTACAGGACAACCACCATACGAATAGAGAGAGGCTATGAAGGAAAAGCACCTAACCCAGTCTAGAAGGCCAAAAAAGAAAGCAATGTGTGAGCTGAGAGTGGAAGAAAAATAAGAGTTAACCACTTGTTAAAATCATCATTAGACTAATCATCTCACATTAGCACAATGTCTGGTGAACACAGCCATTACTGAATGAACAGATACATGATGGAATTTGTGAAAACAGCTCCCCTAAGGAATATTTACATAGTAATATTCAATAATATAAACTTTTCTGATACTTTATAGTTACTGGCTGCCCCTGTGTGCAAAACATTCCTAGTAGGAGTCAGGGAGAATCATAAAAAGAAGAAAAAATATAATCTTTTCCCTTAAGAAATATACATTAATTCAAGAATATTTATTGGGCTTTGTGTGTTTTCTATATGCTGAGCACTTTGAAGATTGTGGAAGGAAAAAACAGTAGATGCTATTTATTAATGCAAGAGGAGGAACAGAAGCATAACAATAATATAGCATTAATAAACTCTTAGTTTTGAGGCTTTCCTAACTTTATCCTATAGATCTGCAAATGTCTTAACATTCTCTAAGCCCTGAAAACTATTATAAAAGTAAGTGATATATATTGTATGTCCCAAAAAACTAAAGGATTAAAAATAAAAGTGATGCAATCAACAGTGGAGTAAATAAATTAGGATTCTGGTTCCTACACTGCAGTCCCTTCCTTAAGCTCTCCAATTCATCCCCACGTTGTCTCAAGTCAAAACAACCCCATCTGTTCTCTCCTATATATGAATTCATAGAGTCAAGACTGCTCACACCATCCCTAAGATTTGGAATGCTCCCACTGTTCCTCTCTTCCTTGTCCTTTAACCCAGCTTATGTCCAGTAAAAAAGTCACATCAGTTATTTCCAGGTCTTACCTCTCCTTCCTCTTCACTCATAGAACATTTATGTGCTACCCCTCTATCACCACTTAATGACTTGCCACTGACTCACTGACACTTGAGCATGACCTTTCTAGCCTTCCTTATAGCATATGGCTCCATTAAATATCATATTAAATCTATGTCTCAAAGCACCTCAAAAGCTCTAACTTCAGGGTCATGAACTATTATATCACACCAATTCTCCAGAGTTTTCAATGGTTCTCATGTCATAGAACTGTGAGGAGCATTGGTTTAATGCTTAGTCCATGACCAATCTGCTTCTGCAAATAAATAATAACTTCCTTGTACATAAGAGCTAGGTACCTTTTAATATCCCACTCTGTTTAAAACAAGGTTAGAAATATACAAAATGCTCAAAATATGTGTAAATTATTTATTTCATTGAGAGGGAAACACCAATAAATGGCTAATTGACTTTTAATTTGGGGCATTTGAATAGATTTATTAGTCTGGAAGAGCTTCTCACTAAGATCTTCTTATGCCGTAGGTTAAGCAACTTTGACAACTGCATTAATTTTTTTAATTACCTCAACCAGTCAGTCAGTCAGAACTTTTCCTAAATACTTACTAATTTTATGATTTAATATTCTAGAGAACTATTTACTTTAATAAATTTTGGCTTGAATAAAATAAACACTGTATTCCCCTAGTATCCTGAAAAACATAAACTTAAAAGGTTTGAATACATGAGTCTCAAAAATTTCATTTATATAATAAATACAAAATGTTTACCTATCAACTGATATAAATATGCTACAATAAAAATTATCATAGTTCCTAAGATCTTAGTAATTATACAATTTTGGCTAAATATGGAATATTTATAGAATGTTTTAAAGTTCAAGCTATTTCCCAAAGTTTACATAAGAAATTCATTCAATGGTGGATTTGTTTGTACTTGATGCTGTGTGAGAGCTTATTCACAAATACTCAGAAGTCAACTTCCAAGAAATAACTTAAATTACCTAGTGACTTAAAAAAAATAAAAAAGATAGCAATTTTCCAGTAAGCTCTCCTATGATCTTTGATATCTTCAAACCAAAGGACTGTCTTTACTGTTCCAAAATTCTGGAACATTTAGAAAACTTTTGCCCCCAAATGCCATAAGAATGTCATCATTTTCTATGTATTCTATAGTGTTTTTTTTATTTTAAATAAGACAGGAAAGCACTGCTAGATCTTAATATTGTGATAGAATTAGAAAATATAATAAGTTATCATGTTAGAAAATATAAATGTGAAAGAACTCTATCTCTTTCACATTGATGAAGTCTGTATCACCTAAGACATTTTGTAATGCAATATCCAGAAACCATAAAAAACAAAAATGGGACATACTGGATCATGAAACTGATAATCTTGATTTAGCATCAAAAAGCCAAGGTTTCCCTGTGTCTCTACTCTATATACTCTATATTTCAATTGAACCCCACACATTGGTCTCCCAGTAATTACAGGTGGTTTCTTGGTGGTCCACAAATGTCCACTGTATCCTCACACCTCATTTCCTCACAAGACCTCCCACCTCCCTCCACTGCTTTTACAGATAGCCTATCCTGATCACCTGTGATTCAAAAAAATTATATGTGTGTGCGTGTGTGTGTGTGTGTGTGTGTATATATATATATACATATACACATATATGTATGTAATTTCCAATGTGTGGGCTCAATTACATAGTAAGAAAAGATCAGAGGTCAAGGCCAGCATTTTAAAAAAATGGAATGAAATTGATTTGTAAATACCAAAGTTATCACATATAGTGATGATAATATTCTTCTATAACATTTTTGTTTCCTTTTGCATGTGTATGTGTGAGTGTATATGTACTAGGTTGAATATAAAATGAGCTCCTACTAGTCAAAAGTTTATTTGGTGTAAACACACCTTACGGCTCCTCTAAGTGCTGGATGAGCAATACAAGCAAATTATAATGTCATGAAATAGCGTGGTAACATTCTAAGTTATTGAAACTGAAGCAAAATAGGGACTAGGGCAGTGATGATGGGTAGTAAGAGATAAATAAGAATGGGAAGATAGGGGCTAAAGTACCTTATCTTAGAGGCCATGGGAACCATGTGAAGAGTTTAAGCAGGTAAGCACTTTGCATTGATAGATTCTTCAGGCAGCACGGGAGGGAATAAATTGAAAAAGGCAAGTAATATAAGTCAAAAGACCCAGTTAATAACAGATAACCTAATGCAGTGATTCAGACAAAAGATGGTGGTGGCATGATATGTTGGGAAGATATAATGAGAAGGCAGTGTCCTACAGATTTGTGACTGATTAAATATAGGAGGTGACAGAGAAAAGAGAATATTGAACAACATACAGGCTTCAATATGGGGTGATATGGTTCCAATCACTAAGACTGGGAACACATTAGAGGAAACAGATTAGGGGGTGGGGGAGTGTGGTTTTGAATATGCTTACTTTAAGATCTGGGTAGGACATTCAGATTAATGTCCTATACACAGATGAACTCAGAACAGAGTTTCTGGTCAAGATCCAGAAAGAAGGGACTATCAACAATGTGGCAGTTGAAGAATATGTAAGTAAGAAGACGACTAGGGACAAAAACTATGGGTCATTCACATTAAAGGTGTAGGCAGAAAGAAATAAGACTTCAAGGGAGACCAAAGGAGAAGGTCATAGAGCTGGAGAGAGAATGGGACTCAACTACATCGCCCACAGAGAGATCCAGTTATCTGAGAACTGAAAAGAATCCACTGGTTGTGGCAATGAAGGTATTGTTTGGTGGAAAC